GAATTTATTAAATTTAATATTTTCATTTCAATGTTTTTTGTTGCTTTATTGCTTTCTACCTTATAACTTATGCATTTTTTTAAATATTTTTCCACACATCAGCAAATTCATCATTTAACTACTCTTTCAAATATTTGACTTAAAAAAATTTTTCACATTCAACAAAATTTTTTTTAAAAAATTCATCTATGTGTTCATTCACCTTTACAATAAATTTATCATTTTCAAATTTCCCAGAAAAAAATAAATTTTAGATATTTCTAACTCTACTCATAGCTGTATATAATAAGCCATGTTGTTATTCTTCTGCCATATCTAAATCTATTACAACATTTTATAAAGTTGAACCTTATGAGGTGTGAATAGTTCTTGCATAACCTAAATTTATAGGAATTTAATGAATGTATACTATAAGTTAATCAGGCATGCATTCTATTAACTTTTTAAGGTTAAATAAGGTATCTTTTAAATAGTTTAATCCAAATCTGTTGTTAACAATATCAATATAGAATAATTTAATTAGATTATTATTTTTTAAAAATTTATAAAAAATTTCTTATTGTTATTTTATTGGTTTACCTAAACAAAAAATCAATTATTATAAAGTTAATTCAACTTACTCAATAACGTTCTAAATATCACTTTCCAATTCTTACTTATTTATGTTTATTTTTTATATAAATTTTTTTTGGTATAAATTCAGTTCTTGGATTCCGATTTATTCAATATTTAATTTAATTTATGATAATCTTGGCATTATCCCATTTTCATATAAGCTTATTTTTTCCTCCTATGATACATCCTTCTCCATCAAAAAATTAATGTTGTTGATTAATCTATGACTACCAATTTAACAAATTTCTTCAAATATTTGTTTGGAAAATGCATATTTCTTTTATTCCTTTACACCTTCATAAATATCATATAAATTATTTTCTTTTAAGTAATCATTTTTGTTAATGATAAATTTCCTCATTGTTTTAATAGATTGATAATCAATATCAAAATTCATGTCTACAATTTTTGCAAATTATCCATTTATTATTTATTTCATTTTATCAATGTTTCTTTTTATCACAACTTCAGCATTTTTAAATAAAGTAATCTCCGCCTAAGCTAGCAAACGAGTGAGTTTTTCTTCCTAATAATTT